CATCATCCTCACTTCACCTATGCAAAAACTGAGCCACAGAGGGCACCATCCTCACTTCACCTACGGGGAAACTGAGACACAGAGGGTGTCTCTTGCCTGAGGCCCTGAAATAGTAAGAGAGCACAGCACGGGCACCAGACATTATTTCACAAAAAGGGAAACCGAGGCCCAGAGAGGGTGAAAGGTCACCGGCTCACCCTCTCAAGGACGAGTGGTATAGGGTAGGTGGCCTCAAAGACAGAGAGGTTGGCTCAGAACCCACGGCCCCTTCAAATCAGCTTTCTCCCCTCCCGTGGGCAGCTATGACGTCACAGGGGAACTAGGGGGGCCGTTACCATGGAGACTGGAAGCCCATTCAGAAACAGGGTGGAAACTGGGAGTCGCCCTCATCTCCCAGGGCACCACTTTGGAGCCAGCATTTTCGGCCTCGGAAGTGAGGCCCAGAGCGCCTCGCGCGAGCAGCCCCAACCTCCCCGCAGGCGACATGCGACACCGACCGGGTGACCGAGGCTCGGGAATCCCCACACTTCACGCACGCAGAACGAGGGCAGAGACGCCTCAATGCGCGTGTGCAACTCTACCCCGTCCTTTAAAGAAGGCCGTGTGGCCTCTCCACCAATCGGAATCCTGCTTTTTCCTTGGTCCCGCCTTATTCCCAGACTTCCGGCGTCTCGCCGGCTGCAAAACAACCCTAAACTAGAGGGCTCGGCAACTCCCAGAGACTTCTGGATATTGTAGTCCCAAAGATGCAGAGCGACAGGAGGAGCACGTTTTAATAAAAAGCAGCTTAGAAGAAAAATGTCTATACCAGTGATGATTCGGCGGGTTGGAAACGCTTGTTAGATGATTTCATCCACTGTTATTTGTGGGGGAAGCAGGAGGTAAGGAGAAGGAAGGCGGCCGCAGAGGCTTCTGGGAATTCTAGTTCAGCGCACTGAGCAAGGGCTGGGAGCTGCGACCTTCGCCCCGGATCCGGAAGTGGTCGCCGAGGCCTCCTAACAGCCAATGTGAATGCGACAAGTCCCCGGTCCAGGCGCCCCGCTCTCCCCGGCCCAGCTCGCCAGGTCCTACCACGATGCCTGACTCGTTTGCGGCTTTGGGACCGGTTGTAGGGGGCTTGACCGTCACTAGTAGACGTTTCTGATTGTGTCGCGGTCACCATGGTAACGACTTTAGCTTCCCTTCCGCCCTTGCGGTGACGTCACTGGCGGAGGCCGGACTGGGGTGGGTTGGGGAGCGGGAGTGCGCATGCGCGTGGGGCGAGGCTGAGGGAGGAGGGAGAGATTCGTGGGAGGACGGAACCCGGGGATGGGACTGGAGGAGTTTCCGTGACCTTGCGGGCTGTTTGTGCTGAGGGGCAGCTTTATTTAAGTAATAATATGCGTGCAGGCGCCCTGCATGATTCCTGGCCGCGTGCTTTCTAGTAAGTGCGCAGAGACTTTTCGCAAGAATTGATTCACTCTTTTTTTCCTTCCCTCCCGATTTTTGATTGGAAACTCAGACTTCCTTTCTCGCCTGTCGCCAGGTTAACTAGGTCACTGTTTGCTCTCAGTAGCAACCCTGCCTCCCGCAGTTCGCTTGGTCCTTGATTACAGGTTCGTGCTGTGCATTCATTCATTCAGTGAGAGCCGAATAAGTACTAGTGGCCAAGGAGACAGCAATGAGCTCAACAGCTGAATGGCCTCAGACCTTACCGAGTTTCTCAATACCAGGGTTATTGACATTGGGGGCAGACATTGCTTTGTTCTCGGGGGCTGCCCTGTGCGTTGTAGGTTGTTGAGGATCTTCCCTCACCTCACCCACTGGATGCCAGGAAAAATCCTCTCCGGCCCCCAACTCCTGGTTGTGACAACCAAAAATGTCTCTAGACATTGCCAAATGTCCCCTGGGGGCTGAAGTCAGCCTACTGAGAACTGCCGCCCTAGAAGTTTTCCAACACTCTTCTATACCTTCCCATAACTTGGTCACCCAGGAAACTCTCACCAGGTGATTGAACTCTGATATGAATGGACATGATCTGACACGTTAACTTCATTTTACATAAAATTTAAGAGCACTCCCCTCATCAAAGGGAAGGGATGATTAAATGTACAACGGCCATTAATGGTATCCAGAAGTTACAAAAAACTAACATCAAGCACCTGGGCATATAATCATCTGGTTAGCATATGAAACCTTCTAATGATAAATGGGTTTATAAAGTTAGTTTAAAAATTAGTTACTACTGGGTTCCCCCAAAATAAAATATATCATTTTTGCATAAGTTGTCTATGGAGGGATTGGCATTCTCTTCTGATGTGGTTTGCCTGTGTCCCCACCCAAATCTCATCTTGAGTTCCCACATGTGGGAGGGACCCCGTGGGAGGTAATTGAATCATGGGGGCAGGTCTTTCCCATGCTGTTCTTGTGATAGTGAATAAGTCTCACGAGATCTGATGGTTTTTTATAAAGGGGAGGTTCCCTGCTCAAGCTCTCTTCTCTTGTCTGCCGCCATGTGAGACGTGCCTTTGACCTTCTGCCATGATTGTGAGGCCTCCCCAGCCACGTGAAACTGTAAGTCCATTAAACCTTTCTTTTGTAAATTGCCCAGTCTTGGATATGTCTTTATCAGCAGCGTGAAAACAGACTAATACATCTTCCATCTGTCTGTCATCAACTTACTGGGTGGTTTCCGTGGCTTTTAGCAGTTTCTTTATTACATTTTAAAGGATCAGCCCTGTTTGCACATGAATTGCTGTAAGAAAAGACGAGAGCTTCCTAGGAGCTGTTATGCAAGCACAGCCATATCAACTCAGTCAGAATGTCTGGAGATGGGAGCCCAGACCTCTGCACTTACAAATAAACAATCATAATCACAGCAGCAGCAGTAACAGTACCTAGCACTAACAAGCATGGTGTGCTGACAATGCCTGAACTATGGTTGCAGGATTTCTGTGGAAACACCATCTTTAATTCTCACGATGACTGTATGAAATAGATACAGTCTATATCCCCATTTAACAGAGGAGGACATGGGGACACAAACACGTAAGATAAGTGCAGCTGAAGAGTGGAGTATTTTTTGTTTTACATTTTTAATTCTGGGATAATTTTATATTTACAGAAAAGTTGCAATGATATAGTCCAGAGCTTTCTCACGTACCCCTTCCCCACTTCCCCTGCTGTTGACATCTTACATAAGCCTAGTAGATGTGTCAGAACCGTAACATTGCTACAGTACTCTTAACGCCAGACTTTATTCACATTTCCCCAGTTTTTTCTCTAACGTCCTTTTCCTGTTCTGGGGTCACATGTGGGACACCACATGACATTTAGTTGCCAGGTCTTCCTCCCCTCCTCTGATCTGCAGCGGTGTCTCTGACTCTCCTTGTTTTTGGTGACCTTGACAGTTGTGAGGTGTATGAACCGGGTGTTCTGTACAGTGTCCCTCCATTTGGAATTGTCTGATGCTTGCTTATGATTAGACTTGGATTATGGGCGGGAACTGACTTTTAAACTTTTTAAAAAAATTTTAATGAAAAATTTTACATTGATACTTGGTTCAGTTATCAGACAACCTTTAACCCTGTTTGGAACAACTTGGATATGTGGATCTACTTTTTAGCTATAAATGTTAGAAAATATAATTGTGGATCAATTTTAGCATTCAAATTGAGATGCACCATACGTGAAAAATACACAATGGATTTCAAAGACTTCATACAAAATGAAGGATATAACTGATCTCATTAATAATTGTTTGTGTTGATTACATGTTGAAATGTATCCTGGATATATTGAATTAAATTGTACATATTATTCAAATTGATTTTACCGGGTTCTGGGCTAATAGGAAGTGTGAAATAAGTGTGGCTCACGGATTTTTATTGGCTAACACCGCCCTAGATAATGACAATACATTAATTGAGAACTATGTGCCAGGCAGTGTGTTTTAGAAATATTGTCTCATTTAGAACACGTGAACACAGAGAGGGGAACAACACGTACTGGGGCCTGTTGGGGTATGGGGTTGCGGGGAGGGAGAGCACTGGGAAAAATAGCTAAGGCCTGCTGGGCTGAATACCTAGGTGATGGATTGATAGGGGCAGCAAACCACCATGGCACACGTTTACCTGTGTAACAAAGTGGCACAGCCTGCACATGTACCCTGGAACTTAAAAATTAAAAAAATATGTATTATCTCATTTAAAGTTTACCTCTATGAGGCAAGCTCAGTAGACTGTTTCTTAAACTCCACTTTAAAATGATCCCTGGGGTAAAAGAAGTTTCCATCCGTCTGTGAAATATACCAACTGATGCTTTAGGCTCACTGAATGCCCCTGGCTAGTGCAGTGCTTTCTAATATGCCTTCGCTCTTCTCTATCGGTTCAGTTATGTGACTACCAAGAGCTAGTTGAGTTGCATTGATTCGAAACCTTTTCATTCTAATGGGTTTTATTTCAATGATGTAATGCAATCACATTTAACATAAATGAGGAAAATATGAGTGCGTCGGCAAAGAATTGTTTCCACCAAAACAATAGTTCAGTGGGAAAGATGCGATAAAGGTCGATTGTTAGTAAGAGCAACAACAAAAAATACGTCAGGTTGGAATGGGCAAGATGGCCATAGGGATGATTTTTTCTTTTTTTTTAATGCAGCGAGGATTTTGCTTAAATAGCTTTGCAAGCATGCCTGTGTCTCCACTGTCCTTTTAAGGTACAAAAGTGGAAATTGTAGGTCCATAGACCTATAGAACACCACCACCACCACCCCCTGGTCTTGTATCCAAAGATTGGCAAATGAGTGTACAATTTTACATTTTAAAACAAAATGGTAAAAGTATTTTTAATTTCCTATTGGAACCAACTTATTTGATGAACTAAGCAATGATGGTTGTGATCATGATGGTAAGAAAACTTCTACCCTACTGTTACTGTCCCCATCTGACGATAAAATAAGGCATTAAGAGACGATACCCTCCCCAAGGCCGCATATTCATTAAGGGTGGAGCTGGGATTCGAACCCAAGAGACCTTTCTCCAGAGCCCAAGCTCTCAACCAGGACATGGAACCACCTCCAGAGTAGGCAGGAAACATGCAGGCTGGAGAGCTGGACACGGCTTCCTCCTGGAACAGCCACATCCTCACACCTGTATTTCCTCGGGACGGAGCGGGGAGCCCCAAATCTTTACATAAAAGAATACGGACTTTGGAATGAGTCAAACTGGGTCAACTCTCAGCTCTGTAGCTCAGTGTGATGTTGGGAGAGCCATCAGTCCCGCTGAGCTGTAGTTTCTTCACCTGTAAAGTGCACAGTTAACTGATAGGGTTTATGACTCTTGGTAAACCACTAGCATACCTGTTAGTTCTCAGTGTGGGGGAATGGAATAACCCAAACTTTTCAGCCATTTCAACAAGTATACATTTTATTATGGAAGTAGTGGAGATAGTCTGAGAACGATCTGGAGGAGAGATTTTAGGGGAAACCCCTGCAGTTGCCCTCTCAGCCGCTCTGGGTGCATCCTTCCAAGGCATGGCCCCCACAGACCCCTTCTGGCCATGCCTCTGGGCACCCAGGTGCCATTCCTTAAAGGACCCAGTTCATTACCCTCCACACAGGCAGTCCAGGGGACAGAGAGCTTTCTTCAGAGGTGAGAATGCCTGGGAGATGGAGGCCTTGTGAAGGCTGAGCTGAGATGGAGCAGGCTCACTAGAAAGAACAGCAGGGATCATCCCTAAGAAAGGAGAGAGAAATGTATCTGTGCATTGATTTTCGTCCTCACGCATTCTCATACTCCTTGCCTGGTGCCCTGTCCCTCCACCCCACAGGGCTCTTGGTGACCTGCCTCAAGCCCACCTCCTCCCTCCAGCCTAGCCCATTCTCTGCACTCACTAGGTTCCACTAACTTTGTCCCTATGCCCACCAGGCTGTTCCAGCAGCTGCAACACGCTTCCCTCAGATCTCATGGACCCTACCTGGGCCCCGTCACCAGGGCAAGTGTCTCCTCCTCAGAGCAGGGCTCTTCTAGAAACCAGCCAGCGGGAAGCAGCGCCCCCCTCCAGTTCCTCACTGTCCCCCAATGCCAGGCCTGAGCTTGTGTCGCACCCCTACCTCGCCACTAGAGGGCGCACCCCACAGGAGCGGGGGCTGCCCAGGCCTGGCTGCCCTGCACCCCCAGCCTGGCGCACTGGAGTCAGGCAAGGTTGCAGGAAGAGAACCTTAAGGTTTGCTTCTGGGCACTGGAGTTCCAGGGATGGATCAGGGGTACTTCTTACTCCCAGAGGGGCTCACAGTCTATGTGAGCAGGGGCCCTCAAACTGTGTTCGGCAGGGCCAACTGCAGCCTGCATCCCTTTTCATCAAGTTTCTTTTTGTAATTGAGGTAACATGTAACCATAATGCATAACATAAAATTCACCATTTTAACCATTTTGAAAGTGCACAATTTAGGGACTTTCGGTACGTTCACAATATTGTGCAATTGTCACTTCTAAGAGTGGAACATTTTCATCAACCCAAAAAAGAAATGCGTTAAGCAGCCACTCCCCTTATTCCTTTTGCCCCTCAGCCTCTGGCAACTAGTAATTGGCCTTCTGTCTCTTTGAATTTGCCAAATCTGTCCGTTTCATATACATGGCATCTTCTACTGTGTAGTCTAGTGCGTCTGCTTCTTTCACTCAGCACCGTGTTTTCAAGGTTCAGCCATGTTGCATGTGCCAGGACCTCACTCCTTTTTTAGGGCTGAGTCATAATCCATTGTATGAATGCACCGTGTTTTGTTTATCCATTCATCGGTCGTTGGGCACAGTCACAACCATCGGTGTATTCTCTATGATTGCTTTGAGCTCCAACAGCAGAGCAGAGTAGTTGCAACAGACCATCCGGCCTGAAAAGCCAACACTTAACTATTTGGCCCTTCCCAGAGAAAGTTTGCCAACCTCTTGCCTGATGGGTTGAAAGCACACATTTAGATGAAAATAACTATGTGGTTTGACCAGTGCTTTAATGTGTGGTTGAGGAGAGCCTGAGAAACCATTCAACACCTTTCTTTTCCTTCAGCAGCCTCCCCAGTGGAATCTGAAGGATTGCTCTTGGTTCCTGAACCAAAGCATTGCTTAGGTGAATCTTGAGGACTGAGGAGGACTTTTCTAGGTCGACAAAGATCAAGGAATCAATGTGTGTAATGGCATAATGGAGCAGGAAAAAAAAGTGATGTTTTCAGGGGAATCAGAAATGGTTTAATATGGGGTGGGCGCGGCGGCTCACGCCTGTAATCCCAGCACTTTGGGAGGCCGAGGTGGGCGGATCACCTGAGGTCAGGAGTTCGAGACCAGCTTGGCCGACATGGTGAAACCCTATCTGTACTAAAAATACAAAAATTAGCCAGGCGTGGTGGTGCATGCCTATAATCCCAGCTACTAGGGAGGCTGAGGCAGGAGAATTGTTTGAACCTGGGAGGCAGAGGCTGCAGTGAG